CCACACCCCCGCCCATCCTCCACACCCCCCCAGACTGAGAAACAACACACCTCCAGGACAAAACAAGGACACGCTGTTGGGCCAAGATCATTTTCTGCAAACCTATTTTGGAATTCCAGCAGTGGGAGCTGCCTGTCTCCCCTCTGATGGCGTTCCCTGTTTAAATGAATAACGTGTGTTTTCTCTACTTTATTTTTATTTTTTCTAATTATCATGTTATAACTCAGGGTTTTTGATGAACAAACAAACAAACAAACAAACTGATCCTAAACCTGAGAAGGATTAGAACCTGTGTTTGTCCAGAGTCGTGTGAAGAAATCAGCTGGTGACGCCTGGTTCAAGAGACTTTGGGGGTTTTTTGGTTTTTTTGGTCTGTTGTCTTTGACTTTTCCAGCGTCAGGATGACAGCTCTACAGCCTCGACACCAGAAATAGAAGAAAAAAAATGGGAAAAGGAGAAACTCACACTCAGCTCTGACAAGAGGCCAAGAATGAGGCTTCATCTTTTTCCCTCAGTGAAGCCAAAGCCAGCGTGTGTGTGTGTGTGTGTGTGTGTGTGTGTGTGGTGTCGCCTCATTTTGAGTCTCTTCATCTGGACCTGATGTGTTCAGACTGGTCCGAACATCTTCCTCCAGAGCCGTTGATGATATCATGTTAAACCTGATACGTTAACACACTGTGTAATTTACTCTTCCTCACTGATGAAGATTAAGTCATGTGAAAACAAAGACCATACCAAAAAAAACACCAAAAAATCACAGTGAAACTCTCTTTTCCTTTGAATCTGATCCCTATAAATAACCTCTCTGTGGTGAGACTGCAGAGAAAACCAATGCCAACAGTGCCCTCTATGTGCAGACTGCTGCTCTGCGGCTGCAAACTCTACATGGGACTGAAAAAAAAAACTGGTGGAGATGTCACAAAAACCGGGGCACACCTCAGTGACACACACCTGATGTTGAACCACAGACAGGAAAACTCAACAAGCTCAACGCCGCCTCTGATTGGATGTTAAGTGGAGCGACCAATCAGCCGTTAAACAGAACTACAATGACGGACTAAGAGTCTCGTCTAAAGCCTGACTGAACCTGTCCCAGGCTCAGATGCTTCCACACGACATTGCAGCAAAAAGATAACGTTTTTTTTTTTTAAATAGAATAAATCGACATCAAGGCGATAAAGATCGCAGTTTGAAGGTAAATCAAACTCCCTGCTGAGCTCCTCAGAGTCGGGGTTCATCAGCAGCAATAATCCATTCCGGTGCTAAATGAAGTGCCGTTTATAACAGATGGAATTACACAGAACAGATGAGTGAAGAACGCAGCTGCATCAGAGCACAGGTACGAACCACAGTGTTAAACTGATCTGCCCTCATCAGCTGTGTGACAAAAGACAGAGAATTCAACAGAAGGTGGGGGTGGGGGTGGGGGCCATAGGGGGGGTTAAAGTGTTACAAACTGAAGGCCAGATGTTGTCATTTCAAGTTATAGCAGAATTTTTCTTGTTAACAAGGTGGGTAAAAAAAAAAGAAAGTGAAATTGCTAATTAAAAACAGGAACGCAAAGTATTATTTATACAGATGTCTGTGATGCCTCATTTTTTTATTTTTTTTTAAAAAAACACCTTTTCATTTCAGTCCAAATATTTTAATCATTTTCTGTCCCTAGGTTGTTCTGTCCTTGTTTCTTTTTTTTTCTCTGTTCCTGCCAGTGAAAAAAAAAGCCTGGGGTATTTTTGAAAAGTGACATTAAATGCTTAAAATATTAAAATGTATTCGTTGACAGATCCCTTGAGCCATCACACATATTTTATGTACAGTATATATAACTCAGTTTAATGATCTTTTATTTCCAGTTTACTCACATTGTTTAGTTGAACACCTCGCTGATATACCAACAGGACTTGAAGAAAGACACCCTGGGAGACGTCTGAGTCGCTCGTCTTCTTTAGTTGCTGCCACCTAGTGGAAGAGGATATAATTGTTACATTCGCATAGACGAACAAACACAAATTAATTTGTAGTAAATAAATACTGGAATTGAAATGTAATGAGCACATTAACTTGTCACAGTGCGCTAATACTCTATCCACTAGGTGGCAGCAGATTGGAATTAAGAACTAAAAGAAAATTGTCTTTCTTCAGTTCCTGAGAGTTTATCAACATTGTGTTCAACTAAACAGGCTCAGGTTTCATTCTGAATAAACTGAAACTTTATCATTATATTTCATCGTATATTTTGTGGTATTTTTGTTTGAGATAATTCAAATGTAAAAATATTCACCGGGCCCGAAAACGTTTGGGAAACGCTGCCATCAAGGGGTTAAAAGCTACAACAGACGCATGTAAGTGTCACATCAAAGCTAAATCATTAGAATCAGAATCAGAATTGTTAATAATACCATCTTCCTCTGTAAGTCGCGGATTACGTTGTCCCTGAGCCGATCGCTGACACTGAGCTTCAGTCAGATCCAGTCAGTCGGTGACAGAACACTCGCAGAAGCACCGACAGTCAGTGCATCACTTCACAACCTGGCTGTGGAGCAGACAGATGTGCTGATATGCCATCTCCAGCCTCGGGCCTTCTCTGACTTCTAAAGGCTTCCGCTGTCAGGATGAGGCGCCTGGGAGAGCATGACACAAAAGTTAAATGAAGGTTAAATGGAAGCACTTCAAAGTGGGAGATATCCGCAGAAAAATAACGCGGGAAAGGTTAATGTGTGTCTTGTTGGGACGCTACAGCAGCTTGTATCTTTGGGGCACGACAGTTTGCGGGCCATTCGGGGTCGGACCGCCTGAGGGCCGCCGTTTATTGGTTGCGTTCGGACAACCCCTATGGGCGATAGGATGAAAGAAGCTTTTCGAAAATATGCTTAGAAAGCAGCTTTTACACCGGGTCGGATTTTTATCTGCGATGGCATCAGTGTGTCCTCAGTAGAGAGACAGAGAGAGAAGCTCGGCTTTAAACGTCTCTCAGCCGGGAACATTCACATCAGTTCTGCTACAACAGAAATAATTGGTTATGAAGGAAACAATGGAGGTTCACAGCTTTATAACACCATAGGAAAAAAAAACAACTGAGAATGATGGTGAGATTTTAACTGTTAGTCACAGTTTAATGCGTCCTTATACTAGTGAAAAAATATGTCATTAAAAATGTATGATAATATATATTTGTCTTTATCCTGAATGTCATTTACTATTATAAAATACTATTATAAAGACCAAGGTAATAAAATAGTAAAAAAAAAAAAGTAAAGAAAAAAGTCAGTATGTTCTATTATATTATTATATAAATCTATATGATGTTTAAATAAAAGCAAACATCATAATTTTTAACAAACTTGAATGGGTTCATTATCCATTTTGACGCATATTTATTCTAACGTTTCTTTGTGAAAAATATTAGCTAATTAGAAAAAGTAAATATTAAATAGTGATAAGACTTTAAATTTTACTTTTTTAATAATTGCCTCTGACGTGGACGACCAGCTACACACCGTTCTATTACTGGTTAAATGCAGCAAATGAACCAACCACATCGCTGCTGCTGCTGCTCCCTTGAACGCATCATCACAAATGCAGCAAATGAACCAACCACATCGCTCCCTTGAACGCATCATCACAGCAGTGGAAGTCAAGTGCCACAGATACTGTACGTGACAGCGACGCTACAGTAAAACTTTAGCCACTTTACTGGGAATAGAGTTTGACACTGTTTTGAAGGTCAAATTATTCCACAGTCAAGTGCCAACAGGTGGCCCCGTGGGGCCGCTA